GTGAGAGCCGATCACACACCCTCTAGGAATGCACTGGATTGTCAGCTGACACTGTGAGTTCAAAGTCCCAAATTGGGCCTTGAACTCACAACCTTCTGAATTGGAGGCAAGAGTGAGATTGACTGAGCTTGACTGACACCTATTTCAACAGGATCTCTTGGTTATGTTGTTAATCTGTTATTGTTGTTGTTAATCTAATCACCTACACTCGGAATAAAGATACATATGCTGTATAAAAACAGTTGGACAAGTATTTTAGCATTACCAGCACATGAGAATACTCAAACTAAATATGAAAATAATACACGCAAAACCTAAACTCTCCAGAGCTAATACTTTCAAGGTTAGTGTTAGACAAAAGGTTAATTGATGTTGCACCAAGATCAAGATCCTATCAATCAGGTTAAAAATTACACCCGAGGTGTTTTTGTTTGTGCAAAGTGAAAATGAATAGAAGCAGAGAAAATAATTAATGGTTTGACAACTAGTGTTAACAGTCTTAACATACGGCTGAATCCCTTCTTGCTGGCTATGCTGTTGGTATGATTGCACAATACATCCACAAGACACAGTGTATTACTTACTCAATCACAAGATTGGTTTGGATGAAGAAAGCCCTTCGGCCCACATGATCACATCCTTCCAGAATACCTACTCTACTGTTTTCACATGTTGATCCACAAACAGAACAATATATATTTATGTGGTGACGAGGATCCTTGCCCGCTGTAGCATTTGCAGCTAATTTTGTTTTGTCCACAAAATATAAAGTTAATTCATTTTACAGTATATTCTGTGAAGCACTTTGAGACATCTGGAAGACGTGATAAGGAGCTATATCAAATGCAAGGATTATTATTATTAGTAGTAGTAGAGGTATTATTATTATTATTATTATTATTATATGCGTGACTGGCTTGGAGGAACCAGAGACTGAAACATTTATTTTTGGAGGGAGTGGGGGAGGGGAAGGAGTTATGTCAGCAAACCAATAGCAATTGGAATAATACAAAGTGTAAATTATAGCTCAGTTTTTCTACCACCAGAAAGAAGCAGGCAAAAATCTAAAAGCTTCTTTACTGCTACTAATATTTCTTCTTCTTCTATCTATACTAATAAAACAACAACGTCTGTCTGTGCTTCAAGTAGGATCTCAATAACCGAATGACTTAGAGACATGATTTATATCTCATCAGAAAGGCCTTGCAACTGCGTGCATCATGGACAATCCCAGTCATTAACAGATCTTCCAACTCAACAACAACAATTTGCATTTATATAATGGCATTCATGAAGGATAGCATGCAATTGCCAGGATGGTGGAAGGTGAACTGGATAGACAAATTTGCCTAGCAAATTCTTATGCTTTGATAGGGAGGGGCAAATTGATCACAGGTGCAGTCAGAGAGATACGTCTTAAGGTAGGATGTAGAGATAGATAAAGAGGGAGTGAGGATGTGTGGGGGATTGAGGCAGGGCACTCCAGAGATTAGTGGTGTAGTGGCTGAAAGGCATAGTCACCAATGGTGGGGCCGAAGGGTGGAGGGGCCAAAGGGTTGGGATCTCCTGAGGAATGAAAGCAGACCTTAGGGGAGAACACAACTGGGGAAAGCAATGATTACTCATTTTTCAGTCATGAGAGAAGATGTTTCAGAGGGGAATCTCATAGATGTGTATAAAATTTTAAATAAGATTGAAAAAGTAACCCCAGATCAAGACAGTAGAACAAGATAACACATGTTCATCATTGCAAAGTGCGATTTCAGGACAGAAACCAGGAACAAAACACAAAATGCTGCAGATGCTGGAATCTGAAACAAAAACAGAGAGAGCTGGGACAACTCAGCAGGTCAGGCAGCATCTATGGAGAAAGGAAAGTGAGTCAATGTTTTGGATCCATTTCATCAGAAACCAGGAAGTTTGGCTTTACCCGTTTAATGACTGGAACAGGATGCAAGGAAAGGTGGGTGAGGCCAGGACTCTGCACTTATATAACAAACAGCTTAACATCGTGTTGGGAGGATGGTAGGATGGGTATTCTGGAGGGATGAAATCAGATGGGCTGAGCACTACACCTTAGGAAGGACGTCAAAACATTGGAGAGGGTCCAAAGGAGATTTACCAGAATGATATCAGGAATGAGGGACTTCAGTTATGAGGAGAGGCTAGAGAAGCCAGGATTATTCTCCTTGGAACAGAGAAGGTTAAGAGGAGACTTAATAGATTTCAAAATTATGAGGAGATTTGATAGGGTGAACAAAGAGAAACTATTTCCACTGATGGGTGGGTCGGTAACCTGAGGGCACTGATTTAAAATAGTTGTTAAGAGAAACAGAAGGGAAATGAGGAGAATTTTTTTCGTACAGTGAGTTGATCAGATCTGGAATGCATTGCCTGAAAAGGTGGTGGAAGCTGATTGGTTAACAACTTTTAAGAGGGAAGTAGATAATTATTTGACTGGACAAGTTTGCAGGGCTATGGGGAGAGAACGGGAGAGTGGGATTGAATTGGATAGCTCTTTTCAAAGAGCCAACATAGATATGATGGGCCAAATGGCTTCCTTCTGTGCTGTATAATTCTATGATTCTATAATTCTATGAAGTCTACTCCCAGTCCACTGAGAGATGTTCAGCAATTAGCTATTAAGAGGTGTGAAAGAGTTCGGTGGATTTATGATTTTTCACTCAAACACTTCCAGCAAATGGCTGAGGTGAGAGTTGGATATTTATCGTGATTCACCATGTGGGAAACTGGCCACATATTCATATTATATCAAGAAGTGACTGATCATAACATGTACAGTAGTTACAATTCTCATTAGTTTGTTTTAGTTTTCAGACCCATTCCCACAAAGTAAGGAAGCTGGTAGTAGGTGCATTCACTTACTCATTGATATAAGCTTCCCTCTTCGCTTGTAAATGTATAGCTCACATTTTTATTGTGGCGCCCCTCTGCTTTACTCTTTTATGCACAATAAATCATGCTGCAATGGAAGTCAAGGAGAACCTGCAGTCCCTTCATTGAAACCAAATGGGTAAATTAAGCTGCTGCTCACTCAGCTGTACTACTCCCACTGTAATTGGCAGTAAAAGACAATCAAAATTGTACTTAGCAAAACATAAATTTCATGTTATAATTTCTGTCTCTACATACATGATGCATATTATTTTAATACGTTAAGCACTGCTTTGGGATTTTGTGGTTGAGAAGAAATGTTGATTCCTGTGCAGATTTCGCATAAAATGAACACCTTTATTACTACACATCTCTTATTTTTATGGGCTGGCTAGCTTGGGAGTCTGTGGTTTATTAAAAAAAAGTTTTATGTTTCACAGGACACATTAGATGGTATCCAAGCAATTCAGCTTAGGAAACAGGAACGGACAGTGTCAGTGAAATAGATAAATTTTGCCACAGTCCACTGGGAACTGAAATGTATTGCACAGTGTGTGATAGCATCATCGCATTCTGCCCACCAACACTGTACATACCCACACACTGCAGCAGCCTCAAGCCACGTCTTCAGTAAGCCTTATATCAAAGTGACTTTGTGTTGTTAGTTTGGTTTGGATAATCTTTAAGCATGGTGATGGGTTTCTGCGTGTGTCACACACCTGGTTGACAAAAAAAATTGTTTTGGCAACTGCTGTAAATCTATCATTATAAAAACAGAAGCCGCTGGGAACACCTAGCAAATCAAGCAGCATCTACTGAGAGATGAAAGCGAGGTAACATTTCAGGTTGCTGATCTTTCATCAGAAATTTTCATAGATGCTGCCTGACCTGTTAAATGCTCCCAGTGACTTCTGTTTTTATTTTATAATTCCAGCATCTGCAGTATTTTGCCTTTTGCAAATTTACTAATGTGAGATTTTTTTTTAAAGAGTTGCAGATACATCTCACATATTCCACACTTGACCTCAGAAAACAAGACAGCAAATGTTAACCTTTAATCCATCCTGGCTCCCGTTCATCACGATCAACAACAAGAACTTTTGTATCTCCATTCACATAGGATGAAAGTATTGAAGTGCTGTATTGGGGAGAACTGAGCAGGGAAAATAAATATTTAAGGATATTGACCATGAAGATCATTGACAATGAAAAGTTATGTAAGCTTTTAAGGTAGCGAGATAGGAATCAAGCCAAAGGGGTGAGTGTTCTAATAATATGGGCTGAAAAGTATGGCCAACAATGTGGAGAGACAAAGCAGTGGCCTTTACACACATTATTTTCAGTTGGATGATACTTTTAAGAGGAAAAATATAAAAGGGTGAAGGGAGAGACAAGGGAATTAGGGTTTGGGTAGTATAGGCCTGACGGACTCCTCCTTGACTCCTAATGTCTTCGATTCTCATTTAGACCAACCTGTGTCTCATTGAGTGTTTCCTTATCTCAGCTCCGCCCTCTCCCTGTTAACTCCAATAATGTCCTTAAGCAGAAGCTTCCATAAATCACATGAAGGTTAACAATTCTCAATGTGGACATTGTTACTTGATTATGAATAAACTCAACAAACTTCTATCATCTATCATTGACTTTTGCTATTGTGATAACAAATGTAGAGACAGAATTCAGTCAAATTGGGTCCAGTTGTAATTCTGGATTTTGTGTTCTTAAGTACCTTTCATGAGACTTTGGATGAGATACAAAACCAAGGCCTTGTTCAGGTGGACGATAAAGATCCCATGGCACTAGTCAAAAAAAAGGAAGTTTCTGCTGGTGTCCTGGCCAACATTTTTATAAAATTGGTGGTTTACTTGTTCCGAGATGCTCCCCTTTGTGAAGGGCATTAAAAAATGCAAGTTGCTATTCATGACTGTTTGTGGGAGATTGCTGTGTACAACCTGGCTATTGTATTTGCCAACATACAGTCACTGCACTTTACACTGTGTCCCGAAGTGCTTTGGGATGTCCTTCCAGTGTGAAAAGTGCTATACCAAATGTAAGGATTATTGTTGCTATTATTATTTAATGTTGTGGATTTATTCCTTTTCCAGGTCTCTAAAGAAGAAGGTATGGCCTTGGCAAGAGAGTGCAACTGCCCCTTCTTTGAAACTTCGGCTGCTTTGCGCCTCTACATTGATGATGTCTTTTATGGGATGGTACGTGAGATTCGGAGGAAGGAAGCCCAGCTCTCTTCTGAGAAGAAAGTGAAGAGGAGAGACAATATCTGGAAGAAGCTGAAAGGCTCCTTCAAAAAGAAGAAAAAATAAAAGATACGAAAGATGTCACTTTCTAAGCAGTCATGGGTCTAATTTGTGGATTGTGTACAATGGCACACAAGTGCCCTTATTATGGAATTAACTATCAATGTGAAGTAACCTGTAAGTTATTACTTTGGGTGTTAAATACATGATTACACCTGAAATTCTCTCTCTACACCTGCTTAACCCATCCCGTCAATTTTGACATTGGATCATCAATGCAACTCCAAATTAGACCCACTTTCTGCCACATGTCTTGATCTGTGGATCTGTAATGTCAAACTATTTTTATTTAGAAGGCAGCAGAGTCTTGATCTTGGGTTAATGTCTAGTCACTGTTTTATACACCCGCGTGAAGTTATTAATCAGTGTTATATTGAGTACACTTTCAGAAATTATTTCCAAACTGTCTTTGTTAAGTAGCGTAGCTGACTATAGATTAATATTTCTCGGGTTGTAGGTATACAAACAGTTACAAGTCAATGTTGTGCCAGAATCCTGCTTCAAAGCATCTTTCCAATGAATGTTTTTCCAGTGTGAGTTAAGATTCTGGAAACTCTATTTTGTAAACGTTTGCATCTCTTGGAAGTCTCCACACTGTCCATTCTTCTCTCATTTATACTGGTGTAGCAAGGACAGTGATGTGTCCAAAATCTTGATACTAATTACTTTTCTTTGTAATTTGTAAACAAATGCCATTCTAATGGTGAAACTGCTCACCACCAGAATTTAGTGGTTGGCTATAGACTGATATAGTGTTTTACAGGTATTTTATATCTGGTTCAGTGTTTGTTTTACCGTTGAAACAGTTTCTTTATATTGTCCCACCAATATTCGTTGGGTGTCCTTTTATATAAGGGTGGAAAGGATGAGACATCTAGTTGTATTGGTTCAAAGCTAGAAAGTATTGTCCATATCACTGTTCTACTGACTGGACCACAAAATAGAGTTCTGTAGCTCAGTGGTTAGAGCACTCGCTTTGCAAGCGAGAAACCTGAGTTCAGTTCCAGGCAGGGCGAAACCTTGGGCAAGTTTCCTTACTCCACACGCCTAATAATAATCCCTCCAAAACCAAAAAAAAATAATAAATTGGTCATTTTCAATCTATGACTGTTTGTGGGACATTGCTGTGCGCAATTGGCTGCCGCATTCGCCCACAAATATACAGTCAATTAACTTTACAGTGTGATCTGTGAAGCGCTTTGGGACGTCCTCCTGACGTGAAAAGTGCTATATCAAATGCAAGGATTATTATTATTATAAATAATTGTTTACTGTAAAAGACACTCTCAATATGTTTAATCTCATCTATTAATCTTCAACAATAACAGCAAATAGATTATTTGAAATGAACATTTAAAATGCTTCTCTTTGATATGTCCCCTAGCAGATTTCAGTGATGAATTTATCTTGATCAGGATCAGCAACCAGCAACATACACTTAGTGTCACTCTGAACTTAAAGTGATGCCATTGAAATAACAAGACCAGCATTATGTGATAGCTTTGCACTGGGTTTGGATCAGGTAGTGTCAGTGAAGCTCCAAGCTCAGTACCTCAACAAAATTGAGCACCAAAATAGCCTCTTTACACAATCCTCTAAAATAATTTGGTTATTGAATGAGTAATAAAGATAGCAAAAAGCCTAAGGTCAGGAAAGTTGTTGGAAATGTGAAGAGGGAGCTGAGAAGAAATGTTTGCTTGGAGAGGATTATTGGAACACAGCTGTTGAAGCTAAGACCATGATAACCTTTGAAAGAGAATTAGATATGGTATTTGATGAGAAACAAAATAAAGGGTTATAGTGGAAAGAGTAAGGAAATGTAATTAGAGTATAAAGCTCCATCAGATGAGATTGCACTAGCATTGGTTCAATGGGTCTAATGGCCCCCTTTTATGTTGTCATTTTTATGATTCTTTGATAATTCCATATAATGTGAAATTAAGTGTTAAATAGTGTTAAGTTATAATAATAAAATAATAAATACCCTTGCATTTGGTAGAGCATCTTATCATGCCATTGAAATGTCTCAAAACGCTTCATAGGATATGCTGTCCAACTGTATTTTGTGGGCAAAGGATACCTGATAAATAGAGGCATGATCCACAGATCTCCAATTTGTTGGTAGGTCTCCTAACCCCCTACCAACCCGCCCGCTCCCTCCGCTCAACCGGCTCCGGCCTGCTCCACGCCCCCCAACCCACCCGCCCCACCATTGGCGGGAGAGCCTTCAGCCACTCTACCCCCAACCTCTGGAATTCCATCCCACAATCACTCCGTCTCACCCCCTCCTTAGCCTCCTTCAAGTCCCACCTCAAAACTCTCCTCTTCAACCATGCCATCGGCCACCCCCCTTCCTCTCCCCTCCCCTCTCCTTTCCTGACTCCAGCTCGGGTCTGAAACGCTGTATACTGTCCAGTGCCTTGGGACGTCCTCCCGACGTGAAAGGCGCTATACAAATGTAATCTTGTTGTTGTTGTTGTCATAGTATTCTGTAATATCATCGTCAACACCATATTAAACTATTTTAGAATAAGACTGTGTTATGATAAACGTTTCAGATCCACATTCACACAAAAAAAAACTATTTGTGTTCCTTAGTAGGTTACATTCCAGTAACAAAGATGATTCAATTTGATAATTAAATTTTACATGGACGCGCATTAAAATGGATTCGGACGCGAATCCATTTTAATGCGCGTTGAGCCCATGCCCGTACGACAGCACCACACTTGGGAACTCATCAGCTACTGTTGCAGGCAGCAAGGATAAGTGAGAGCCTCATCTCTGTGAATCTGCTGTTATGTATTTGATGACTGGAACCAGTACAGCTTACGGCTCTGAGTGCAACAACATCTTACATTTATACGGCACCTTTCAAGTAAAGGAAAGTCTTGCAGCGCTTCACAGAGTGAGATTAATTAGAAATGAAGCAAGTGTTGTTATGTGGGCAAGAACAGCGGCTAATTTGTGCCAGCAGCAGTTCGAGTGCAGCAGTCAATCCCAATGTCCAAACGCAGGACTGGTGATGTGAGTCCAACATTGTCAAATGATTGGTGTCACATGAATCAAAAGGTTTATTCTGAAAACGAATAGTTACTTATAGTTCAGATGAGGACAAATTACACCATCTCCCCATCAGAGGACATTTTTAGAAACAATTGCCCATAAAATTAGATTTTGCATTTACAAGGATCCTATTGTTCAGAAAAAATAAGACCGTGACTGTCATAATAAAATTGTTTCCTTATATTTGCCTTCCGAGTCAGATGTACATTAACTGTATGAATTGCAGTCGACAATTTATGTTGCAGGGTTGAGAAATAAAAGGGTTGGCATTCTTAAGATTGCAGTTACCACCATTATTACATTCTTATGGAAGACATGCAAAAGGTTTATTTCTCTTTTAATAAACCACTGTCAGAAGATTTTCTTTATCGCTCGAATATTCATGCTGGAAGTGCACAGATGCAGAGGCAGTTAATTGAATATCTTAGCTTAGCTGCACTGCCCCAGAATATGTTACATCTGTGCACAGATACAACCTCCCTCACTTAATTATAGGCACGATGATAGGAATATTTTTCTAAATTGCCTTTTGTTAATGCACCAAACCATTTCCTATTTATCATTATTGTAAACAGCAGCTTTAATTACATCCAAAGTCTTGCTGCATCCATTTAAGAAACAAACTCTGGGCTCAGCAATTTTCATACTCATTGTCCGTCTGGGAAAATGTTATTGCCGTTAATCAACAAATTTGCTACATGAAAGACTCATTTCAAATACTGAGAATTACTAGCTATATTCCGCACCCCCCCATCCCTCCTCACACACACACACATCCACCCACACCCAACCACCTCTAACTCTCGCCCTTCTCAGCCAAAAGGAATTCAACCTGAATTAAATCAACTAACCCTTCCCAGAAACAATACTGCAATTCCAGAGGGGGTGCACTTTAATAAGCAGCATTCTCTTCACAGATATGGTTGGAGATGTGCCCTCATTGGATCAAGCCTCCAACCGTGCATTTATATGACAGTTGGGAGCAGTGGTTGAAAACAAAAACTAACCTTTTTTTCTTCTGACTGTTCTTTCCCCAGAATCTGTTGTAAAGTTGCTAAATACAGTACATGAAAAATGTACCTCAAAACCTGATTCATTTTCAATGGGTACAATCAAAGGGAAGTAAAGCTTAAAAGCACATGTTAAAACTTGGTCCCAAGCAAACTATTTATTTTTCTGACTATCCTTTTAAAGCTTTCTGCATTGCAGGAAAGTTTAAAGCAATACCATCTCTTCACTGTGTCTGTATATAACATTTCAATCTCTCTGCGTCAGCCTTTATTTGGCTTTGGGCTTTGCAGCTTGCACGGAAAGGAATCTTTCATGCCATCACGTTGCATTGGAATTAAATCCAGACACCAGACTGAAAAAGTTCAATTGGTGCAAGAGTCAGTAACTGCAAGGGTAGGTCTGTAAAATAAATTGCTACATTACAGCATTATAAATCACTTTGCTACCTTTCTCCTTGCTTTCAAAAATTTCAAAAAAAAATTATATTTCTTCGACCGTTTCCTTACTGAGATGATTCTCTATATAAGCATAAATTGCATCAAAGGAACAAAATAATATTTTGATCCGCAGGAAAAACAGTGATCACGTCCTGCTGAAATACAATAGTAATAACAATCATCCTTCATTTGATACAGTGCCTTTGAAGTCAGGAGGACAACAACAACAAAATTACATTTGTATAGCGCCTTTAACGTTGGGAGGACATCCCAAGGCCCTGGACAGTCAGTGTTTCGGACCCGAGCTGGAAATTGGGATTGGGGAGGGTAGAGGACAGATGGGGAACAAGGATGATTGAAGGCATGGTTGAAGAGGAGGGTCTTAAGATGGGTCTTCAAGGAGGCAAGGCAGGGGTGCGGCAGAGGGACTGTGGGATGGAGTTCCAGAGGGTGGGGATAGAGTGGCTGAAGGCTCACCTGCCAATGGTGGTGCAGGTGAGGCGGGGGACGTGAAGCAGGCTGGAACCCACAGAGTGGAGGGAGTGGGCAGGATGGTAGGGGGTTAGGAAGTCGCAGAGGTAGGAAGGAGCAGGGCCATGGAGGGCTTTGAAGGTGAGGACCAGGATCTTGAACTGTATCCTCTGTTTGATGGGAAGCCAATGGAGGCGGGTGAGGATGGGGGTAATAGGACAGTGCTGGAGCCGGGCAATGTTGCAGAGGTGGGGGAAGGCAGAGCAGGTCATGGCACAGATGTGGGGTAGAAAGCATAGTTGAGGGTCAAACAAGATGCCAAGGTTCTGGACTAACTGAGTAATGTGGAGTGTGCATCTTTGGATGGTGATGCTGTCAGCACCTGAGGTGAGGAGGCGCGGATGGGAGCCAATCAGGAGAGCCTTGGTCTTGTTG